TTTACTTTTAGAAACTTTAGCAGCTTCAAACACTAAATGTTTTGCGTGAAATACAAATAAAAGTCGTGACATCTTAAAAAAACATAAACAGTTTAGACATTTTGATGAATAAAGTCTATTAATAAGAATGAGTAAAGAGTAAAAAAAATGTTTAGAAAGAAAAATACTGTTGTTACCATTTACAAAACAACTAATTTTGTAAGAATACTTGGTTAATCGTATTTTTACTTGGAATGAGAGTATTTTAATTCACCGAACAATCTGAAATGTCCAATTACAAGCACTGTAATTGTGCGAAGAAATTAAAAATTAAAAAGAAAAAGCTGAATCTTCCTCACAAAAACTGTTTTTATTTTGAACTTCTTTTCCCACGTTTCTCAATTATAAGCAAAATTCAGTTACCGTTCAGCATTTAGCTAAAAAACAAACATTTTTTCATTCTTTTGAAAAACTAAATTTGGCGAAATTAGATGTATGATAATGACTCAGAAACAAGATTTTTTAATAGATATTATCAAGAAGGTTTGTTTCTTGAAGAAAGAAGCGTATTAACTCCATATATCAAATGAACAGATAAAATTCTTTAAAAGTTGCAGTAGAATGTTTTACCTTACGTTGCTGTTCTGCTGCATTAACGTTGGCTTCGTTCTCGACTAAACACTTTACTACATCGATATGACCTTCGCCAGATGCCAGTATCAGCGATGTCAACTAAAGAAAAAACTTTTTTGTCGATAGAACTTCAGCACTCAGAGAGCCTCTTTTTTTGAAAAGCTCCTCTTCGATTTATAATATATTTCCGGGATTTAGTTCTTGTTTTAAAGTTTTTAGGCTAACGAATTGTTATTTTTTTCTGGCTCTACATTCGTAATTTTGTCGAATATTTTGAATATAAATTTTCTTATTTTTACTTTTTTAATCACATTTTTTCTTTAAAAGAAGTATTTTTTACTCTTTTGGAAGTTTCTGCAATAGAAATTCAAAAAAAGATAACTTTTTTGCCGGATTTAATGAGCAATAACTTTCCAAAAACAAATCTTATTTTTATTTCAATTGTATTAACAGTAATTGTAGTGAAGGTTATAAAAACAATAAATTACCTCATCATTGTCTGCTGCATTAACGTTCACCCCGTGTTCGATTAAATACCTGACGACATCGATGTTACCGTTTCGGGACGCCACTGTTAACGGTGTTCTCTGAATAAAGGATAAGACTTTGCATGAATACGACCCCAAGTCAGAACTGCTAGAATAGGGCATTTAACTCCTGCTAATATCTCGCAAGTAAAAATAGTAAGCAGCATCTTGGTTAAGAGAAATGCTGAAACGGCAGACTTTACCACAATTTAACCTTGACAAGAATAAATGTTTCTACAGAACGATTATTTAAAACAAAAACGGTGTTACAGATTGAGCTATTGATAGAAGGCTGACTGCAAGACTCTGTAGCACTGCGATGCTGTCCAAAAATAGTACATTGACCAAACTGCTGAAGATGGGAAGTTAAACTTGGCGATGTCCCTCAAAGCGAAGTAAATAAAATTTTATAAGCAAGGTGTAACAAAATTAATAAGCCTTTTGATCGCTGAACAATAAATAGAAAAAGTTTAAAATTGAAAATGGTAGGGTAGATCACTCAGAACGTAACTTGAAGCTTTCAAATAACCACAGTAATTATAACCCTGAGTCACTAAAAACCGTCAAATTCATCTTCTTCCCTAATTTCAGATGTTGTAGAAGACCTACCAAGACCTACTGTTTTGAAAGATAGAAGTTTTTCTGCAATATTCTTTCGTATTCATTTAAAACGACAACCCTTTGTTGCTAATATTATTGGGAATGTGATATATTGCTGCTAGTGCTACTAAAAGACAGATGAAGACTGCTACCCTTCACCCATCAATATCCGCTGGATTTTGTAACCGTCTTATGTAACAAAAACCGACCAAACTACGCAGCAGTCTACCAATTTCAGAATTGCATTTTTAAAAATAGGAAATGTAGCAGAGTGATGCCAGAAGAACGTTAATTAATATGGAACAAACAAAAACTAATTAAACTGAGAATTAAACTAGAAGTAGCGAGAACGATGTACTACAACAGGAATGTTATACGAAAGCAGTTTTATTAACAAATCCAAGAGAGACCAAATACTCCGCAACTGAATGCCCATATTAGACAGGGAGAGTAGGTAACAATTAAATACATCATTACAGCAATCTGCACTTCCCGAAACAATAACTCTGTTAAAAAATTTTAAAGCTACCATTACACTATATTTAAGTAGTCTCACTGTTCCAACAGCCCTCAGCACTCTCGTAAAAAAACCTCTTGTCAAAATTGCTACTTATGTACATTAAATCACAATAAGAACAATACTTGCTGCCTACATAAACTATGAAAAAGTAAACTAAGATTCTGGAACTAAAATACATATGCTAAGTCTAGTGTTTTAATTATGTTTAGCTCTTCGCCCACGTGAATATCCAATCCAACGATCTGCAACTTCATCAAAATACTTTACATTAGTTATGCCATATATCCACTTCAATAAGTACACATGAACAGCATGATAATCCCATCGTGCCACATTTGGAGCTGTTTTAAGTGTAAAATGCCTTAAGTCGTAAACTGAGCCACTTCCCGTATCGTAGAGAGAAAGAAAGAACTTTAACGATGCAATGCCTTCAAAAAACAAAAATAAAGTAAAAACAAAAAGAGATAAATAAACAAAGCTTACCCGATGCAACAGGAAAGAGATGGATACGATATACAGTACTCAAATGTGCAAACTGATGTAATTATCAAGAAGTAGTTAAAAGACTACAAAGACTATATATACCACCTACTCATAAAGATACTATAAATAGAAGAAAATGAAACAAACATTTGGCAAGAAAAACAACCCTAAAATATATGTAACCAAGCGACTACCTTTATCAAAAAGATTTTTTGCCCTAGAGGCAAATTTACTCGGAGTGCTTGCAAAATCATAAAGCCCAATAAGCGAGTACATAAAGCCGTTTAAAACGTATGTTCCTGGCACTGTCGGATACTCTTCGTACCAAGTATGGCCAAAGAGCTCATTAGAAACTCCTCCATCCGACGCTGCCTATAAGTTAACATCAGTTCGTACACCACACCAACAAAGAAGGCTAAATAGATAAAAGAACTATGAAGCAGTTCTTGACAGAAACAGAATTTTGGTCTTTACGGAACATAGTTGTTGCGAATCAGTTATGTGACACAAGTTCCAAAACCGTATAAAATAAGACAATGATAATGGTGGTACATTGAGGCCTTAGAGGAAAAAAATCACCTTTTCAAAAACGTCCAAAGCTTTACCAGCGACGTCTAAATAAACAGAATCATTGAGCAATCCAAACGCTCTAACTAGTACACTTAACGCGTGACCTTGTGCCATCGCACTGTGCCATCCAGCAGGTAGGGATAGATGAGTACCTCCAACAGTCCTAAACTTGCAGCCATAAAAAGAAATAAAAAAGTTAGTTCAGATGCTCAGAATACTAATATCAACTTACACGAATTAAAACCACTTAAATGTTGCGTCTCATAATTAAAAACAGCCAAAAAAAAAACTATGGGTTAGAGCCCTGAAAGACTACTCAAACTAGCCACATAAGAAAATTGAACTAATAAACATCAACCAGCAATATATTAAAAAAAACACGCAAAGCAGGCGTTTGAACCTCGAGACCGGAACGCTCCAACCTCCTGCATCGTTTTGATTTTTTAAAAACCACTCAGCAGCTACCAAAAAATTATCGAGGTTAGAAGAAGAGCGCTGGCGCACATCCTTCACGAAACAATTACCACTGAATGAAACCCATAATCCTTCTACATCTCCTAAACTGGTCAAAACGACCAAGTAAGCTCTAGAAAAATACTAACTGTAAAAGTAATCCCAAGTGTTCTCTATATGTACAGCATACCTGGATGAAGAACTGGTCCAGGCTTTCGCTTCTTTACTTTTGTAACTAAAGCACGATCTAAGTCAACCATAAAATTCCGATTTACAATGTGCCAACCTTGAGAGTAATCGTCTTCACCAAGAGAATAATAAAACACCTTCTACAAACATTTACTGTATCGTCACAAAAGTGAACTATTTTAGATACAGATACTACTTTATAATTATCTGCACTTTACAAACGTTTAAAAGATCTCAGAAAATAAGAAAATGTGTTAAATACGTTATTATCCTCAGACCATACGCAGCGGCTATCATCTTTCCGTACATAGTGAAGCTCGTACACTGATTTGCTCTATAAAGGATTACAAAGTGGAAACAAACTGAGAGTACATTAAACATATAGAGCAAATATCCAGTTTTTGGAAATGGTAAAATAAGTATAATCTAACACTACTTCATTCTAAGCAAAAAACTGCACAAGCTGCCCTCAGTGCACTTCTTTATCAAAACAAACAATAAAATAAAGTGGATACTATCTCTGGCGACCATAAAGCTACAAGGCAAACTTTCACTGAATCCACCACAAACAAACCTGCGGAACATAAGCAAATATGGCAAATGATGCTGTACTACTCGGCTTCCAGCTAAATGTTACAGTCATCATAGATGTCGCAGATGACAAACCAATCTTAACCCCATAACTATTTGCTGAAATTAACCACTGTAGTCCCACTGTATTACAAATAAAAAGTAATTACACGAATAAATTTTCAAAAAACTAAAACGGAGCATTAAAAACCACGGCAAATCAACAGAAAGTAAAATGAGCCTCAAAAAACAAACATGACGCTAAACTGAAAACGACATTTTTCGCAATACTAAAAACAGCATTAAGTAACTTGAAATATCGCAGCTTACTCTCAGTACCTTTCGAAATGATATTCATATAAGGTTCCTGAGAATAAATGTCGAGCGATTTCACAATACTGGACTCAGCACTGATAGTCCACTGGTCGACATCTTCCCCGAGAGCAAGGGAATCAAGAGCAGTGTCTAAAAAGACACGTTTCGTCAAAAGTTTTTAAAACAAAAACAGTGCTAAAAAAGAAACCCGAGCTAATCAAATAATGGAGAAGTTGCAACTCTAACTCCAGGTCTTGAATTTCGAACACGGCGCTCTAAAATACACTGACTATGCAGCATTATTAAAAATCATACTTGTTTTGAACCTGCTAAAATGCTGCAGTGCATATTGAGCAATTTGTACTGGGTAAAAGTAAGGTTCAGACGACCACTGAGTTGACATGGGAACACCTAAAACGGTGAAATAGACTTCAAAAATAGACCTCATATCCAAACGTCAAAGTTGTGGCAAAAACCTAAAAAGAAATACCTTTTTGCGCGTTGATACAACGGACTCTGTCTCTAGTTTCAACACTATAGTATGCAAAATGTCCAAAAGGACCGAAAGGATCATAACTACTGATATTTGGAGTCTTTACTCGTGCAGATGACGTGTACCACTCAAAGTAATTTTTTTGAGTTTGCGGATCTAAAACGAGTAGGCGAGACTGCAAGGATTTATATCGAAAGTA